ACTGACTGACTGACTGACTGACTGACTGACTATGACTGACTGACTGGACTCTGACAACAAACTGACTGATCCGACAGCAGACTGAATACGACTACTGGACTGACCGACTGAACGACTGATAGACTGACTGACTCCAAAAGCAGACTGACTGGCTCCGACCACAGACTGGTTGCCTGGCTCACGTAGCAGACTGAATACGACTGGCTCGGACTGGCTGACTGCCTGATCACACTGTAAATTGCTTACGAACTATAGGTTCGTAATGCAAACCAAAACGTTCGTAGCTTACGAAGGATTTTGAAGCGTTGTATTACGAACTACTTGTTCGTAAGCTTACGAACAAATAGTTCCCGTCTAGCCTTACAAACAATCGCTTTGCAATACGAACAATTTCTTTGCAATACAAAGAACGAAAATTGTTCGTAACGTTGCAAAGTATTTAGTTCGTAAGCTTTTTACAGTGCACTGACTGACTGACAATACCCGCCCTCAGACTGACTGAATGACTGACTGACATCGACTGACCAGCTGACCGGCCGCTAGTGACGCCCTCGGTGTTGTGAGGTCACGCGGCATATGACGCCTCGACCAATAATCGCAATGATGGGAAAGAGGTTAAATATTCCATTTGGGGCGGGGCGAGGCATTGGGGGGGGGGCGATAGATCTGACTTTGAGACTTTATCACTATACTTCGCTGGTAGCCGCAGCAGCTGACTGTCGCGCTGACTGGCTTGTTTTTGTACGGCGTGGTGTAACCTTTGGCGTTGAACTTTATACATATATTGTATTGACCTGAGAATCGTCGCGTATGACTTTTGTTTCGTACAAGTGGGTGGGGGTAAACGACAACAACAATTATAACTCGGATTTTTGTCATTTTTTCGCGATTTGCTTGTTTGTGTAACGGGGTGGGGGTGGGGGTGGAATAGCCGGCTTATAATACTGATTATACACTGCAAATAATAGGTTCGCGCATTGCAAACGACTTTCTTTGCAGCTTGCAACGAATTTTGAAGCATTAAAAATATAAGAACCAATTCTTCGCAAGCTCGCGAACTATCTCTTTGCAATACGAAGAGCACTGTTGGCAAGGCATATGACAGCTAGCAAAGAATTTCTTTGCACAACTCAACTTATTCTTGTAATACAAAGATCGAAAATTCTTCTGAACGTCGTAAAGAAAATAGTTTGCAAGCATTTTTGACAGTGCATAGTTCAGCAAAGAAAAGTGTCAACTCTCCCTGAGTAGAAATGAGGACACGTGTCGTGTTTTTTTTTTTGGTGGGGGGGGGTAGGAGGCTGCACAGTTGTTGTCGCGTCCCTTCCGATCCCCTCCGCCGGGCAGCCATAAGGAGGACTTCCCTCTCCAGAGCGTCCCGTCGGGCTCCCTCTCTCTCCCGTCCGCCACAGTGGCGCGATCTCTCGGAGGCGGCCCCGACCTCCGCGCCCGCAGTGGGCCCCCGCGGCCCCCGCGGCCCCCGCGGCCCCCGCGGCCACCCGCGGCCGCGGCCAATCGGCGCAGAGCGGACCTCTCGCCGCCTACCGCCGTAGAAAATATCATTAAATCGCCAAATTGCGGGGCACCCGTCGTCCGAAGGCGCGCGCGTCGGGTGTTCAGCGGCGGGAAAGTCCCACCCGGAGCCGCGGGCGCGTTCCAGCGGCCCCAGGGCTCCGTCGTGGGGCCCCGCGGACGACGGCAAGCCTGGCTCTCGCGGGCGACCCCGCGCCCGCCGCCGCGCTACTTATACGCTCTCCGCGGGCCACTCCGTCGGGTCCGATGCTACGAGCTCTCTCTATATATACCGCATTCGATACTCGATACCGATGTGACTATACATATACCCTTCATAATGATCCCAATCAAGACTTCCTCAAGCGAGTAGCGACCTCGACCCACCCAATTCTTTTCTCGTTTTTTGTTTAAACAAAATTTAAGCAAACTTTTGACTCCCTGTTTTTGGCAAATTTTAGACGTGCTTTTGTTGAACAAGCTATGCTTAGCTTAGCCATGAACTCGCCCTCGAGCAGTGCAGCGTCAACTTGCAGCAGGGCGGATGAATTTGTAGCGGGGTGGAGGGGGGGAGGGTTGCACCCAAATCACGACAACGTATCCATATTCTTGCAGAGGGGATATTGCCACATTAAAAAAAACAAACACACAAACTAGGACGTTAATCGGCAGCAACATTTCTCAAAACGATAACGACAATCGGCAATCTGTATCAGAACGGGAAATATGGAATCATTGCCAAAAACCTTTTACCTTTACCATCATAGAGACAGCCAAGGAGACTAATGGTCTGCCTACAAATTCATGCCACCTCCACCCCTTGGCTACAGCCAGCCCCGGCCTTGACCACATGGCACATGGTATTATACCGTGTGCTAGCGTACCCTAACAAGGGAACTCATCTAAGTGTTAGTCCCCGATTTTGTTCCGCCTTGGGGGTTTTGTAGGGTGAACGTATACAAAACGATTGGCAATGAAAATTCGTGCCCAATTTCATATTTAATTTTATAGGGGAAATCCACTTTCTCCAAAAATGACTTTAAAAAAAAGCATTTTTTCTGAAAAATCCAAAAATTATCCACAGCTTATGTATTCAGTTTTAAAAAGTCGATTTAAGGCCAAATACAAACTCTCGGTCATTTTTGGTTTTTTCAGAAAAAATGCTTTTTTTAGTCATTTCTGGAGAAAATGGATGTCCCCTATAAATACGAATATGAAATTGGGCACGAATTTTCAGTGCCAATCGTTTCGAATACGGTCACTATACAAAACCTCCAAGGCGGAACAAAATCGGCGACTAACACTTAGATGAGTTCCCTTGTAAGCCTAGGAGTAATGGCTCCTTATGGGTGGAACGAATAGGCAAACCCGCCCGCATACACTGCTGTGCCGTAGCCCTGTAACCTATAGTGGCCATTTGTGACTGTGGGTAAGAGAACCTTGCCCCCTCCACCCCACCCCCACCCCCGCCTCCCTCTCCCCTCTCTCCCGTCGGCACCTTCGGAAGCCGCCAGTTAGGAAGACAAATATTATCTTTAATGAGGTAGCGCCTGCAACGCGGGTGGTCGGCAGACCCGCCAAGCAGCTGTGTGGAGCCGGAGGCCCACCCTGAGCGCCGCCAGTTGGCCCAGAGCGCGCGAACTAAGACCAAGAGCTCCTGCAGTGCACGTATAGATGGTATAATGCAAAAAGAGCTCATCAAAAAACGACCTCTGCATCATGAATAGAACTGTCTAGTCGCAGACGTGCACACGTGTGTCTGATGTTTCTTAAGGTTTTGTTAACTTTCGGATCCATCACTTGAAGTCACTCTCGCGCCAGCCCTCGGGGACCGCCGGTTCGTTTCGGATGAGTGTCACGTGATAGCCGAAGCTGCCTACCTGGCGTTCTGATTGGCTCCATGGCTCGGCCGCTCGGCCACGACTGACCCGATCTCGGAAGCCGGAGCCGAAGCCCGCCGAAGCTGAAGTACGACGTACGACGACTGTTGTTTTGTTATTGTTCCTCTATGTTGCTGTCCTTCAGTTATGTTTAATGTCATAGTTTTTACTCCATAGTTATTTGTCGACTTTTATTCTTCCTCCTGGAATAGACTTGTCACGTCAAGTATGTAGATTATCAACTGTGTCTCTGCTGCACAGATGTTTAAATTCGTGTTTAATTTTAGGTTAGGTTTATTATGATGGTGAAAATCTGTCATTTTCAGGCAACATGATTCGTCGTAGTCCTACTCGCATCGTCCTCAAGATTGAGGATTTGCAGGTGAGTTTTGAAATTTGATGTGGAATTTTTTTCTATCTGTTATATTATGTCATTTTCCATTTTTCTTTTTATTACAGGAATATGAGTCAATGCGGAAAGAAATGGAAGCTAAGAAAGGGACTCCTGTGACAAATGCATGGGAAGGCCCAGCGAGATCAAAACAAGATATTGTTCGGGAGCGGATAGGGTATGTCCCTCAACCACATGATTCCTGACATAGGGCCCCCCATCGGATAATCCAACGGCATCCTCACACTCACTTACTGTACCACGGTCATCGTCATTCTGATCCACCGTCTTATGTTCCTGTTGGGGCTCTACCAATTTCTGCAAGTCCTTCAGAACGTTCCAATTCTCCACCACCTGCATCTCCTCTTGCAAGGCCAGCCTCTCAATTTAATCGCCCCTAGTGACTGTAGAAGTGAAGTTGGAAACTGTATGCTGAGATTAAAGTGGGAATAATAAAAGCCAATTTTGTAAAAAATACTTTGTTTAATCATAAATTATGTTTCTACTTTCAACAGTCAACTGTACCAAACTAGAATTTTTATAATCAGAACAGCATTTTTCAATGCTATTGATTCATATAACACATGGGATCTTATATCTTAAATAAAAAGTCTTATACATTTCAAATTGAATATGGAAAAAAAAAAATTGATGACAGCAATATAATTTGTACATATGATACAATTTGATGCCCAACAATAGGATGGTATAACCTTTTTAAAACAAAGAATTACCATCTATGTTTTATAATTTTCACATCAAGACAATAACCGTTTTCTTCAAGGAATTAAATAGGTACAAATGAATCAGGCAGTTATTTTTAAAGGTTTGTCATGCATCTATTCCCATAAAGCACCATTGAATCCCAATTCAGAGTGAGGGAGATGAAAGAGGCAAGGCCATTTGGCACTATAACATCTTTCAATGTCCCGCATGCCGGATTGGCTGTCAATCAAACAAGACAGAGTAAATTTAATTAACAGAGATGTAGTATGTGTTTGCTCAGCAGTAAAGTGAAACTGACAATATATTTAAAAAATTAGAAATAACTAACTGCAGTGTTGCCGAGGCTGAATATTATTCCGAGGGAAGACATAATAACCAATTGCTTTCATCTGTACTGAAATCCAAAACTGGTTACTGTACTAAGGTACAGCAGGATGATTCACAAAATCAATAAAACATATTGCAATCTATCGCAAAATTAGATCTATACAATGATGTCTGTACATAAATATTGACAGATTAACAGGCACAATAATAGTCACTATCAAAATTAAATAACAAGTAATATTCTACTGTACATGTTAAATTATTTAGAAGCAAACAATGATGGCATCAAAGGCAGCTCATAAGAGAACAGCCAGATTGTGGTTTGTACTTAAATTCTGCACAACCCTCTACTAACTTACGTATACCATTTGAGCAATGCCCTATTCTTTTACGTATATGTAATTATCTATCTTGAGGTTAATTTGCAGCCTATTAGACTGCAGGGCAACAGTCCTAGCGATACACTCCCAACTGCAAATTGATGTGCCACTGTGCATTGACACAGAAGTGGCAAGAGCTACAATGTTCTTTACCCAAATGCATCTTACAATCATTTCCAAAATAACATACGATAATACCTGGTTGTGATAGGAAAAATAAAGTTAAAAACCACCCTCAAACTTTTTCTACAGTTAGTTAATTATCCTTCACACTGGCCACTGGTACTGACTTACATCAGAATAATTATAGCTTGCAGAGTAATGTACAATTTTGTGGACACCATTGTAACAGACCTAGAGAAACAAAATGGATTCCGATACAAGAAGAGACACTAAAGTCAGATGTCACACATGTAAAATTTTTATAAAAATAGTCTAACTGGATTTAGTAAGTCAATTCATCGCACAAACTTTGAGTTGACTGAAACAAGTAATTGAAAAGATATGTATGTCACCTGACAAAACTTTAAGTTCAATGGAAGCAAGTTTACAGCTGCGTCCAGACAAGAGGGTCGCTTGGGTCGCTTGGGTTGTTTGGGTCGCTGTGGGGTCTCTGAGGTCTGCGCAGAGAACCAAAACGTGGCTTCTGCGCCGGCTCAGAGACCCAAGCGACCCAAGCAACCCAAGCGACCCTCTTGTCTGGACGCAGCTTAGGACATGCACTCAGAATCAAAAATAATAATAATTCAAATACAAGTATTGAACCAAAATTTATGTGGTATGAATATTAACAGGAGCTTGGCAGAGCTATTCAATGGCACATAGCAATGTAAAATACGCCCTTCTAGGCAATCATAAATTTAGGTCACAAAAATATTAGAAAGAGGCAGACAAAGAAACGAGTGAAGAAAGACTTCTGAAGAAACTGCTAATACAGAAATATCACAAATGCTCAGTTAGATTAAAATAGCACCAAAGTATGAGCTTTCACTCACTCCAGCAGATAAAAAAATAGGAATATTTTGCTTTAATTTTTCAAAATTGAGCTAACATGATGCAAAGCAATAAATACTGCATGAAAAGATAATATCGGTGGGCAAAGGAGCACCATTTGTCAGCTGAATTCGAATTTGTCAAATACTTTTGTAAGAGACATGAAGTTGCTGTGAGTGTTAAAAACTGATATACTACAAGATGTAGCATCCTATAAAAGAAGACTCAAATGAGCCAACAACAAGAAATATCAGAACTTTAAACTGAAAGCACCAAATAGCACTTGAAAAAAAGGTGCAGGTGTTCTATTATTTACATATGTATAAATAAAAACTTTCCTGACTGTCTTTTTAGAATATTAGATAAATATTACATAACCAATAAAATACACAAATAAAATTCAATCCATATTAATAGATTTAGCCCTGCACAATATCCTAAAACTTTATAAAAAATATAACATTTAAAAGTGGAAGATGAAAATAGCACCAGAGTTGATATTGTTTTAGATTATGATTTAAGTCATGTATTTGCACAATGAAAATCACTAATTAACCTTCTATCACATAAAACAATGGACCATGGTCAGCTAGTCTCTAGAACTGCCAGTACTTGTAATAACAATAACTGGCACATAACAAACCAAACAAACAAACAAAAAAGGAAAGAGAACAGAAATGAATAAATTTTGATACTTTAGACCAGTGCTGCCAGGTCAGAGAGATAAAATTTTCATGCCCAGCCAAAGTCCCTATTCAAGGTGCATCCACATTTAGCATCAGCACACAAGTACTATGCTTGAAAATGAACACACCACAGTGAATCTAAATAGGTAGTTAACAGAAAAAGACAACAAAAGTTGCAGTTTACTGCCAAAGGAAGTCCAGACTAGGTCTTTAGATTACATACAGTAATTTAAAAAATATCAGAGGAGTGAAAAATCACAAGATAAAAACTACAAACTTGAATCAGCCCTGTAATGAAACACTTCCATTTGATGCAAAAAAAAAAAATATATTGTGACTTATTGACACACTTGACCTAAACAGAAATTGCAAAATAGTGCTCTCTGAAAGATTTGAGCAATCTTAAAAGCACCAGCTACAGAAACAGACACCACATCACAGAGAAGACAACTTGCCACAACATGCACAGTTTACACTTCAACTCCAAACACTCGATCCACAACATACTCAAATCTTTCCCCCTCCGTAGGGTCTTTACTTTCTTGGCCTTCAACTTGCCTTTCAGTAGATTCACCACTATTACTACAATCACAATCTTCAACCTGTTCCTCCTCATCCACATCCACATCCTCCTCCTCCTCTTCTTCTTCTTCAGCACCCAAAGAGGTCCCTCTCTTTAAAGTACTACTCTCTGAACGACTTTCATCTAAGTCATCTGCATGTAGACTGCCATCCTCAGAGGGCAACACAGGGACTGTAAGGTTAACCCGAGTAAAGAAGGCCATCTTTTGCCTGTAAACGATAAAACAGAAATTGGTTAAAATTTTGGTGATTAAGGACAATTTCACCATTTAATTCAGTTTATCAGAGAAAACTACGTACTTAAATGAAATGACATCCGGTCTCCCAACACCAGCTTTACTCTTGCGTAGCTTGTAAATTTCCTTGCTGGTCTTATTTAGCAGCTTTTCAACCTTGCGGTCGTCTAGGTTCTTGCTATTCTTTCCCATTTCAGCCTTTAAACAAGCACACAATGTTTATTAAAATTTTGTAAAATGAACAGCATACTAGTGCAAACTGATCAAGCAATATTTGAAATACCTGAGCGATGAGGTTTTGGAACTGTTTGTCTTCCAAAACCCAAGCAGCAAGTTCACTATCACCTCGTGAGCGAGCTTCCTCCAGCTGAGTTTTAAGCATTCTCAGGCGGGTTAGCTCGTCCTTAAGGGTTTCCAAACGAGTATGCTGAGCTCTTAAATCAAGCTCCAGATCGAGAGAGGTACGAGGGGCAGTGGTATGAGGTTGGCTCCGGTCATGATGACTTGATGGATGACCGGATGATAACTGTGAGCAGGAGGATGGTGACCGCCTCCATCTGAGAGAACGACGTTCAACAGAATTCCGTTGGAATGGCCGGCTAAGACCACTTGAACAGCTAGGCCTTCGGTACAAAGGCATAGCGCTATCGCTATCACTGCGATTTAACTGAAAAATAAGTAAACAAAAACATTAATAATTTGAGAATTATGAAAAATGTCTGTTAGTCAGTAAATGTAAGCTGTGAATTTTGGGAATCTAAGTAAATTAATTTCACTCACTCGGCAAACATATTGAGATTTGGATACAGCAGCACTTGGTGAGAAAGTCTGAGAGCGTTTGATCACCATAGCTGTTCGACTATCTTCTTGTCGCTTGTTGCCTTTTTCAGGTAGAAACACACATTCAGTGTTAGTTTCTTTGTCTTCAGTGTCAATTTCACAGACCTCTGGCACTTGATCTAAAGTTTCAGTGGGAAGTGAAGGGTCTAGTCTATCATTTTGAACATTGTCTTCACACTCTTCATCCTCAATTTCTTCTTCATCTTGACTCCGCAAGCATGCAGCCAGCTCATCTAGCCTGGTGCAAACTGTAGGATTACCTAAAGCAGAATGACATGGTTAAAAATCTCAACTTTTGCTAAAGGAAAGCAAAACTACAGAAAATTTTAATTCTGAGATCTGCCTACCTTGGCTTCTAGTAAGTGTTGATGTTTGACTGGAAATTATAGTTGATTCATCTGAACTCTCTTCTTTCTGTTGAGAACTATGCTCAGTGACAGCCCCCAAAACAGATGGGTTCGAGTTTGCAGAGTTGTTGCTTGAAGATGCCTTGTTAAGAGTACTTGGCGACATAAAGCGGAAACTAAGAATATTGTACCACTTCACGGATACCGTGTCGGGGTTGAAATCAGCCAGGCTAACTTGAGCACAGCCCTGAAACATGACAAAATATAAGCCCATTTAGTAAGCTGCAGTATTTTGGAAGTCACTTGTACATGTACAACATTGCTTACTAACACATACCAAGCATTCCTCTGGTTGAAAGTTGCTAGCACACCACACATGGACCTGGAGGGTCTTAGCACAGAGTTTGCTAAGTGGAACAGATAAGGGAAAATTTTCTCCGAAAGTAGGCTTTCGTAAGTCAGCCACAGATTTTGTACAGCAAGCCAATGTTGCTGGGGAGGATGAAGGGAGAAGAGCAGCTTTGATATGTCTGAAAAGATAAATAAAGAGGTTAACATGGGTTCAATTTAGTCAGATTTACAAAGTTATCTTGCATAACAAGTCTGGTTTAAAGGACGACTTACACAAAACAGTTCTCTGGAATAGAGAGGGCAGCAAGGTTTCGTGCTCGTTCAATACCAACATGAAGTAGACTATCACAAAGCGAGTACCTGTAAATAAAACACAACAAATTAAATATTTTTATTAAAAGCATAGATTGTGTTGACAATCTTGCTCCCAAGGAGAACAGAGAGCCGTGGAGAGGTCATTTTGACATCAAATTGACCTACACACATCAACTTTCTCTTCTTCTTGAGCTGCCACAAAAGTAAATGTAACTTTTCAAGTAAGAGAGGCCATGTAAAATGGAGAGGAAATGGATGAAATAAAGTTTCAAAAGGATTTCAATTACACTACGGTCCGCACCTTAATTTGATTTGAACCTGGGCTGTCTCCAAGTTCATGTCGCAGAGCACCATACCCGCAGGCCCTTGCATCTTCTTGTGCGACGCCTCGAACACCCCGGAGTCACCCGCGACCGACTCGTCGCTGACGGCGGCCGACACCGACCGGGTGTTGGTGCCGGACGAGGTGGGCGTCTCCGAGATGGGGGACAAGGGGGGTTCGAGGGGCGCGAGGCTGGAGCTGGAGCCGGGCCTGCGCAGGCCGGGCCCCGCGGCGGCGCCCGCGCGCGCCTCCAGCGGCTCCAGGACTTCCCCCCGCGAGTTCACCACACAGTTCACATAGTCGTTGACGCCGGCCTGGTTGAGCCGCAGCTCGGCGAGGCGGCTCTCCAGCTGCGTCCTGTCCAGCGGCACGGCGGCCTCGTCGCCGCTCAGCCCCGGGGCCTGCACGGCCTGCTGCAGGAGCTGGTGCTGCTGCTGCTGCAGCTGGCGCCGCTGCCGCTCCACGTGCTCGTAGGCGGGCGGCGGCCCGGTCGCGGGGTTGTACACCGGGGACACGGGCGGCGACACGGAGGCGAGCGAGGACCGCGGCGACAGCGTCGGCGACCCGGACTCCTTGAGCAGGCGCTCGACGCGCCGGTGCAGGTCGGCCATGTTGATGGGCTTGTCGGCCACGGCCGCCACGCCGCCGCCGCACTGCGGCCCGCCGTAGATGTCCGTGAAGCTGAGGCCGCTGCTGAGCGAGCCCTTGCTGCTCGTCGTGCTGAGCGAGCCGAGGCTGGAGCTCGACGACACGGACAGCGTGCTCGCCGACATGGTCTTGAGCTGCGACTCGAGCGACGTCATCGCCCGCAGCACGTCGCGCAGCTCCTGCAGCAGCTGCTGCTTCTCCTCGTGCAGCCGGACGCGCTCCGCGATGGTGCGGTTGGACATCTCGAGCGCGTTGTTGAGGTCCTGCTTGACGCGCCCGATCTCCTGCTGGATCTCCGACATCTGCCGCGGCGTGAGCGCGTGCGTGCGCGGCGTGATGGAGCGCAGCTCGCGCAGCAGCTGCTCCTTCTCCTGGAACAGCAGCAGCCGGTCCTGGTCCGACTCGGCCTGGCCCGGGATCACCTTCTCCTCCAGGTCGGCCAGCTTCTGCTGGATCTGCTGGATGCTCTTGCGCGCCTCGTCGTACTGCAGCCGCATCCGCGCCATCTCGGCCAGGCGCGTGCCCATGGGCACCAGCTGCGGGAGAACAAATAGGGAATAATGACGACAAAAGATACATTTACAAAAAAAAAACAAAAAAAAAACAGCGTAGAACTGGGTCAGCTAATGATACCAACAAAAACTTCATGTCCTCTAAAAATTTGTGCTTTAAAACTCAATTATTAGTGTCAAAAAAACTAACCTCCTAGGCACCAAAATTAAATGCAAATCCCGGGAGATGTTACAATTTTTGTTCCATCTTTTTCTTGTTTTCTTGGTGTTAGTGCCACACTCACCTCCCCGGACAAGTCCGTCTGGCTGGCCGTGCTGAGCTTCTCGTTGGGCAGGCTGAGCGTCGACACGTCGGGCGAGCTCTCGCTCAGCTGCAGCCGCGTCAGGTCGTCCTTGAGCTTGGCGAGCGACTGCATGAGCTCCGCCTTCTCCTTCTCGCCGCTCATCAGCGACTTCTGGATGTTGCGGAGCTCGGCCACGATGGCCTGCGCCTCCTGGATGTTGTAGCATCCTCCCTGCGACCCGCTCAGCTTCTGCTCCACCCTGGAAGACAAGACAGACGCACACCGTGTCACTCCAGGTGCTCCAGGAGGGGAACCCTGGAAGGATCGCGGTCCCTGGGCGCATATTATACTTACGATGCCAGGTTCTCCACCCCCCGCTGCGTGCTCGTCACTTCCGCGCGGATCTGCTCCAGCTCCCGCTTGAGCCGCGACACGCGGTTCTGGGCCAGGGCGACGTCCGACTTGAGGAGGTCGGGGTCGTACTTAGTACTGACCGAGCTCGAGCTCGAACACACTGCGGGCAGAGGCATCGTGTGTGTGAGAGAGATGGAGGCAGGGAGCAGGGCGTGGGAGTATACGCACTCCAGGTGCATTCCAGGAATGTGTAGTCAAAGTGCAAAGGGGGAGAGGGCAGCGTCAGCTCCCTCAACGCTAAGCGCGCGATGACGTATGAGACAAAACCACTGAATACTCACAACTTGTCCTCGAGTAGTTGAGCTGCTCGCTAAGGTGGTTGAACTCATCCTGGGCGAGGTACAGCCTCCTCTGCTTGACGTCGAAGATTTCTTTCTTGGCCTGCAACAACACAAATGGGGCAACGGGGGCGTTAGGCAACATTCGATACGGTGCATTCCTCCACTGTTGTAAACCAAACCGAATCCGAAGACGATACTGTATAAAAGCAATGCTCCCCGTCATGGACTGGTTAAATGATACGCTCCCACTCTACGGAAACACTTCGGACAGACAGTAGCAATGGACCAAATCCGATCCCCACGCATCGTCGCGTTTCGAGAAGTAGAAACGCAATCAGGAATGGAACCAGTTTTCGCACTTTAAACCGTTTGGCGAGGCAGCAGAGATTTTCATACAGGTTCCGATTCCGATTTCCATTACTTCCCCTCTAAATGCGGAGATTAGCGGAGACCGTACACATGGCCGGAGTTCGGATCAGCTTTGGTTGTACAGTGAAATACCCTCTGGTAAGAACTCGCGCGCTCACGCCCCGCTCGGTACAGCGTGGCCGCCGGCGGCGCGAGCGTGAGCCGCTGTGGCGGGGGAGGGGGCGGGGGGCTTACTATTTCGCACTGACGGCACGCCGGCCAGCTGGGCCAACTCCGCGAACTCGGGTGGTAGCGCAGGGGGGCGGCGGGGGCGGCCGCGGGGCTCAGCACACCACCACCGCCGTGGCCAACTCGCGCCCAGGGAACCATGGCGGGCCGGGCGCTGGTCGCGCGCAGCCAGCAGCGCTCTGCTAGCGCTCGGCGCTCTCGAGGGCGGGCGGGCGCGCGGGTAGAGGCGCACGAGGCCACGGGGCCGCTTACGAGCTACAAACTAACATCCCAACACATCCACGGCAACGCCGGCCCCCGGCCCGCCCGGCCCTGCCCGCGAGCACAGCCCCGCCCTG